TTGCTTTCCCTTCTTTGCTTAACATGTCTACAAATTCATTTGTATAGACTGACATCAACACCCGAAAGATTAATAATATACATACATCACTGCTAGAAGAAATGATTGATTAACCAAGAAGAATTGTGATGAAAGGTAGATTGAAGTAAGTAGTATTATCCAGATTTGTGAAAGTCAAATTCAGAGGTAGTCAAAGAAGATGATCAAAATGATGTTGATCATGAATGGGAATGGAGTGGATGGAAATCGAGGTTGAATTTGGGTATTTGTATTGAGGAGGGTGACGAGGGATGATCGATCAAGTGTAGTTGTGATTTGGTGTGAGGTTGGGACTGGTTGGGACTTGAAGCTACTCAGAGTTAGCTAACGCGTCGGTAGGCTGGGATAACTTTGTCCCAGCCTACCGATTTTTTGTCGCAAAGTTAACAAAAGATTTGTTAAAATTCGACCGTTGTGGAAATTTTGAGATCGGTAAGTTAAATACTTAGCTATTCCCGCTAGTTAACCCAACGATTGCGGATGCTCTAAATAGCTACCGTACAGTGCTTCGTCGTTTTTCCAGCTGGGTTGTATAATCGTACGGTGGCTCTAAAGTGCCACGTGGGTCACTTCGTCAGAAATGGGAAAATGCAACGTACCAGGCCTGAAACAGTTCTGTCTGGAAACGCGCCGACCCTGGCCCGCCTAGGTCCGTGACCCTCTCAGCCATCATCAGGAGCAGGGCCCATATTTTTAATCAAGCTTCAGTTACCTACCTGCCACGACTTGCCATCTGCGTCAAACACCCTTTTTTCGAACCAGGCCTATAATCATCGAAGCACGGGAGTGCCACGACAGCCGGGCTCTTATAAAGATGAGTCTCACACCCACAATTCATCCACCCTATCCCTACCGTTCTCTCCTGTCTCACCCGTTTTTTCACTCGTCCGTTCACCTCAATCTCCAAAAACATCTTTTCTCAGCTTACTATTCTGTTGTCTCCCAATTTCCCAAATTATCTTCCAACCTCCAGATGAATCAAGATCACCAAACGTTATGTGATCAGCAGATTGAGAGAACTTTGGAATCAGTATAGATCGAAGAAAGAGAAGTTATTGTTTGGGCACTCCACCGGCAACATTTTTGCATAGCATGGCAGCATGTGGCAACACAAAGCATTTGGACATCTGATGTTGAATCACATTATTTCTCTGTGATCCAATTATCATGTGACTTCTGGTTGCTTCCTTTTCAAGTGATCTAACATCACATTCAGGTTTGGGTTACACGGGGTCATGTGATTCAACTGAATTGTGATTTGATATCACAGAAAAAACTTGTGATGTAAACCCATGTGATGCAAGATAGCTGAAATTAAGATGCATGACACACATGTGTGTGATTTAACCCTTTACATCACATGTACAAAAAGCCATGTAACCCACTCATGGCTTCTTGTACATGTGATGCAATCTAAGATTTCTATATGTGATGCAATCTAACACTTCAACATGTGATGTAATCTAAATTCCAAAAGGTGATTCAATCTGAGATTTGGACATGTGATGTGATCCCAGTTTTGTAGTTGTGATTAGAAGCTGGAGGAGACCTTTGGTTCATGTACAGTTGCTGAGGATTCAAAAACTTTTGAGTTGAGCTCACTCAGTAGACAATGCCTTTCCATTCAGAAAGCTTCAGTTGCTCAGACCCAACAAAGGTCTCCAAAAGACTCAGTTGCTGAAGTTTGTCAAACTTCTGAGTTGAGCTCACTCAGTAGAAGTTTCCTCAAGATGATCAGTACCATCAGTGACCTTGAGCAGCACAGCAACTGAGCAGAGTTGAGCCTCATGAAGATTTGCTGTTGGCCTATTAATTGATAGGGAATTTCTATTCAGAAAGCTTCAGTTGCTCAGAGCAACAAAGGCCTTCACACTTTCTCAGCCTGCAGATGAAGAACAATGGGAAAAAGAAATACTGGATATAGAGGATTCAGGAAACACAATCAATGAAAATTTCAAAAGCAAAGAACCAAGGGATTGAAAGGGAGATAATTGGGTCAGCAGTGTCTTTAAATACAGTATGAGTTAGATGATATTGTGAAAAAACAGCTCAATTGCTCAATTAATCAGCGTAAATCAGAATTGCTCAATCAGCATTGAGCGGGTATAGGCTCATTATCTATTTATCACAATCAGTTAAGCTTAGATAGTATAGTCTGTGTGAGCCTCAGCCCAGTAATATATATTGAAATCAAAGTGGCTCAGCAATCAATTTGATCTTTTTCCAGCCTTAAAAGGGCCAGTCTTCAAAGTCATAGTGTGATGAACATATCTAGCACCCACATCAGCTGTTAATTCTATACTTTTACAATTTTCAATAGCCATATATCAGAAAACCGGGACCTCCAATGGAAATTATAAATCATAAAAGTGAGTATTCAGTATCTGAAATGATCATAAGAACCAAATATTGATTCTTTCAACTCTTCCATGGAAATTAGAAAAGCATATGAACCCTAATGTGGGTGAAGTTGCTGTGTCAAAGGATAGTTATTCACTAGCAGGTATGAATTCAATTGTCAAACCTTATTTCATCTTCCCAGCTGATCCCTCTATACCCAGCAAAAACCTGTAGAATATCTCAAGGGAGAAGGGGTAGAGATAATGAGACCTCTGATATTCTGGCCTTTATGGAATCTATATCAAGGGAAGACATCAAATTGACCTGTGACACTTGTGGGGATCACCAGAAGCAAACTGTGAATAAACCTCAATCACCAATGCCTTTAAGAAAGTTAGCTTGGACCGCCTATACTTTCTTATTACTAACTAGCTGGATAGTGAAGAAGATTAATTACACTTGTGATGTGTTGGATATTCCTCATGACAAATTTTCGCAACACATTTTCGTTTTTTCCTTTTCTCTCTCTTTGATTATGTGGGTGGCAGATAGCATGGAACTTACCCTATATATTCTTGTACTTTATGACATCACTAAATATTTGATGGTTGTCTCTTTTTAGTTACGGTACTCAAAGCTGCATATAACAGCACAGGAATTTTCCTGACACAGCCAGAGATGTTTTACCATATGCAAGTTGCCTGTCAATTTCTTCTTCTAAGCTAAAAGATAGGCGCTTGTTTGAAATAGCAATATTGATATGTGAGCCAAAGTGATTGATATTAGCAGTTACACATCAAAATTAGAAAATCCTGATATAGAAAAGGTCTCCATATGTCACATGAGACGACAATGTGGCAGATGTTTGTTTTCAGAGGCTAGTAATCTTAGTTGTTCAAACATCTGATGCACCACTTCCAAAGCAAGGTGTTCAGATTCATGCCCGTCTTTCAGTGGATCTGGAAACGAGATGTATGTTGTCAACTATCATGCGTCCAAAGAGCCCATTGCAAGAAGATCTCACCCATGTACTCTCGCATCATCCTGTGATGCATAGTGATCAGAACAGTCATCATGAGCTTATACTTACAGCTGCAGTCTGGCTCAACAACCGAATCATCTGTCTTCCAAAAAGTATAATCTGCTTAAGTAACAAGACAAACTAAACATATCATGAAAGAAATATGAGAGTACCCTGAACTCCATTTCTGTCATCCACTTCGGGGATCAACGGACCGATTTGGTAGTCTACTGGCACCACACCTACTTCATTTAATAACAATCACTACACCTCAGTAAAATGGCAGAACACATAAAAACTTCAAAAAGGACAATCCAGACAAACCTGTGTCCATTGTTACAGTACTAGGTGTTCTAGGTGTCAATACAGTACTAGGTGATATGTTCTCAGGCTCGATCTCCTGAAATGACAACGTGATTATATGGGCAGCGGCGGGAGGGGCGATTGATATAGTTGCAGGATGAAACGAAGCCGTCGGTGCCGCAGACGATTTACCAGGGTCGTGGTTAGTCTTGAATTTATATTTTCGTAAGTCGACTTCCAAAAGCAGACAAAGAACACATAGATGAACATATTAAGTTTATGAACGATCCAAGACTGAACACGGTGTGGAACGATGTTTACTAACCAAAGCGTTTCCCAGACCGTAAGATGATGTCTCGAATTTTCTTCATCTTTGTTGCCATTATATTTGATGATTATGTTGATCACAGCTCTCGGAGAAGTTTGAGGAGTCAAAGATGACAGGTGTGTTACAGTCAAATACATTTGAGAAAATTTGAAAATGCAAACAAAGGGCGTCTAAGAACAAAGGGCGTCCAAAAGAAGGAAGAATAATCCGAGAAAGCACCACCCTCAACGCTTCGAACGAACATCTTGCGAAGTAAATCATTACACATCCACACCACCATCAAGCACTGACTATTACAAAGCTTGAAATTTGGCAAGCATGAATGCTAAATGTGAGGGTCGCTCTACTTTGCATGTTAATTTGATGCTGACTTGAAGAATCTGTCTTTCAGCCACTGGTTCAAGCGGCGACGCTGGAGCAAGTCTGATGATAGATATCATAAGATCGAACAGCGTTCACATTGTCATTGACATTCTCACTTTCAAATAGATGCCATCTACCACTTCTAGCCGGAATGCCACAAGACTTGCCTTTGTTCTGGAAGATCTGTCATGGTAAACAGCTTTGGATATTTCGCAAGTGTATAAGGAGACATTGGTACCGCAGAGTAGTAACGATAGGACAACCAGCCTTGGGGTGATCATTATTATGGATGCTTATAGCGAGTTAGAGTCGGGAATGATAGGGGCACCATGCATTTAAGCACAATCAAGGACTTCGAGGCGAGGCATGGAATCGTACGACGTGAGAATAGGTTATGAAAAGGTTGACAAAAGAGGAGTAGCTTTGACCATACCTCATGAACACATCTGTTTTCGTGGCCTTCAGATAAGGCGTACTTGTGGCTCAGAATCCAACACGTGAAGTTGTATGTCCACTGCATGCATGATTATTTTGAACGAAATTGTAACACAGGTTGATGTTTTAAGATGAGCATTTTGGTGAAAACTGTGATAAGAAGGCAAATGCACATGAGATAAGAGAAAACTTGAAATGCGTGTAAGAGAGGGGATGATATGGAATGTTTGAATTCCGCAGCAAAGCTTGATTGGAAAGAAATGAATTGAAAGTGGAATTAGACATCAGAAGTAGGGTTTGTCGTTGACTTTATAGTTTCTTGCCCTGGGAATGAGGATTTTTGTCATATTCCGTGAGATATGATAGTCCGAGAAATCGAGGAAGACAGCCTTGGCTAGGTGGTATCGATTCAATTCTTGAGGTACCCATTTTTCTGTTGATTGGATGACAGCTTTCAAAAAGCCAACTATATATGATTGGGTCCTCTTCCATATTGGCTCCGAGATCGTTTCATTGCGCTGAGATAAGTGGCTGGTCACCAATAGAAAGTTTACGGCCCGTAGAGGAGTATATGCTCGTATGTCGGTGGGATATATCATTAATCCCTTGACGCCAGAAGATAGAAAGGCCACAAGGGCTGGTAGGTTACAATATTCGACTTTGATTTGATTAAAAGCGTTCTTCAGCTGTTCCTTGTTCGAAGTCAGGGAATTGATAGTTTCGGAAGAAGTACTCCTCTTGATTAGTTCTTCGGTTGCTGCAATGTCGGCCTTGAGAGATGTAGTTGCCCATATACTAGCAAATGTCTCCACCATCGTGTAGATTGTTGCAATCAGCTTGTCGAGATCTTCAATGCACCCATCAGCTGATTCAGCTCGTTTCGCTCCGATATTTGCCCAACGAAGGGATGAAATGTTGCGATGGACTAGAGCACACGAGTGAAATGCGGAAAGGGTGATAGCCTTAGTATTTCATGAGACAACACAAACATAAGAAAAAGACAAAAGAAAACAAAGATAGACCTACCTAGAGCACACGAGTGAAATGCGGAAAGGGTGAGGAGAAAAGCCCTTTCCTGGTGTGGCTCTAGGAAGTCTATATACAAAGTTTGATACGTAAGCTTTATGTAATAGCTTAGTAGAAAGAGAACACAAGTAGATTGATCCGATGAGAAATAGCGATCACTGATCATTGATCAGAGGATCAGATGAGAAACACTAGATGGTCTACAAATGATGAGATGTGAAGGAAGATGGTAAGCACATCAATCGTGAGAAAGATAATGGAATACAGCGATGTTCAGGTAATGACGTCGTGACTATTCCAACACCCCCCCTTGCGTCCAGCTAACTTCACTGAGTATGAGAAAAAAATAAACACACACAAATATACACTAAGAATGAGACAGTAAAAAAAATCAGACAAGAAGAGACATAATACAAAAACAGAGAAAGAAAAAAAAATCAAACTATGCCAAACATGGCACGATGGCGTTCAAGCATCACTCGAGGAAGAGGTTTTGTTAATAGATCCGCAAGCATATCCTTGGTGGAAACGTGTAACATAGCGATATCATTATTCTTAACACATTCACGGACAAAGTGATAACGGGTGTGGATATGTTTAGTCCTGGCATGATGTTGAGGATTGCGAGCAAGAGCCTCGGCACCTTCATTGTCGACATGTAGTGGTATGGCTGAGGGAGGTCGTATATTCAGTTCAGCTAAAAGGTTTTTCAACCAGAGGCCCTCGCGGCAGGAATCAGACATTGCTTTGTATTCGGCTTCAGTGCTGGAGAGGGAGACAGTCGTTTGCTTGCGAGATTTCCAAGAGATGGGACCAACACCAAAACGATAGGTGTAGCCAGTGGTCGAGCGCCTGTCGTGACGGTCTTCAGCCCAGTCCGAGTCGGAGTATCCTGAAAAGGTGGCGGAACCCCCTAGCGTGAGACGAAGATCGGCAGTTGACACTAGATAGTTAAGAATTCGTAGGGCAGCAGTCCAGTGGGTGGAGGAAGGATCTCGTACGAATTGGGATAGTCGACTAACTGCGAAAGAAATATCGGTCCTAGTGCATTGCGCGACCCAGAAAAGGGCACCGATAAGGCTTGAAAAGTGACCCGGAGACTTCATTTCACCTT